TGAAATTTTTTAAAAATAAAAATATATAAAACTCCAGATAATAGTAATGTGGGCACCCAGGTTCAATGGGTAGTTAACTTTTGATGATCCTTATCATGTTTAGAAGGAATATAGAAATACTAAATAATTTTATATGTTTTAAAATTTTATAGTTAATTATATACTTTTTAAATCTAAAGGTAACCATGAATAGAAATAAAAGCTTTAGCAAGAAGTTGGGGGGAGGGGGAAGTGCAGAAAACCAAAGGCCAAATTTAAAAGAGTAGAAGTTAGTCCCAATATGCCAGTAATCCCAATAAACATAAATATAAAAGCATTAAACACAACTATTTAAAGACATTCTCAGGTTGGGTTTAAAAACACAATCCAGACATATATTGAATACATTGCTCTTATAAGCCATACATAAACTAAAACTATACGAAAATAATGAAAATAAAAGAATCTAGAATGTTATTTCACATAAATACTTATCAAAGGAGAGCAAGTATGGCAGAACTAACATCAGATAAAACAGAATTTAAGGCAAAAAATATTTCTAGAAATGAAAACTGACACACTATATACATATGGTCAAATTTCTTTCCTGAAAGAGTATATTGTTTTCCGTTTCCAGCGGCAAAGTGTATTATTCCCAACAAGCATTACAATACAGGGCAGTATCAATATCTTGTTTATATTTACCAATTTGATAAGTAAAAAGAAAAACCAAAAGCGAGTCTTTAATTGCTTTTTCTTTTCTTTTCTTTCTTTTTTTTTTTTTTTGAGAGAGGGGTCTGGCTCTGTCACCCAGGCTGGAGTACAGTAGAGCAATCATGGCTCACTGTAGCCTCCACCTCCTGGACTCAACCAATCCTCCCACGTCAGCCTCCTGAGTAGCTGGGACTACAGGCACATGCCACCATGCCCAGCTAACTTTTAAAATCTTATGCCCAGCTAATTTTTTAAATCTTTTGTAGAGATAGAATCTTGCTATGTTACCCCAGTTGTGTAATTTCAAAGCCCATATTCTCTCAAATGTAATCATAGTGACCACACAACAAAACTGATGTTCTGGAATCAATGGTGAGCTCCCAGCCAAGGGAGGCAGAAACTGGTAGTCCTGTGAGGGTTCAGGTGGACACTGAGCCACGGCCTGGGTGGCGACAAGGGCAGATGAAGGAAGACACAGTTCCCTGAGCTGACAGGCAGGGAGGCCAGCTATCCCAGGGCGTCTGACCAGAGGGCCCCAGCCCCAAGGCCTACATCTGTTCTGCGTGGCATGTATCAGAATTAATTCTCAGCAGTTTATTTAATTTCTATACAGCACATTATTTAATTTCTATACAGCACAGTATTTACTTTCTATACAATTACCCACAAAGCTGTTCAGCGCCTGGAGGCACCAAACAATAGTTCTCTACAACCACCTCTGAAGGACCAATTGCCTTTCAGTTTCACACAAAGCTCTCACTAAAAACTCTTGACTGGAACTAGGTGGTTAGCAATTTCCAGATAAATCTCTGATGTATTTACCCTGGAAAGAAAGAAAGAGAGGAAAAAAAAAAAAAAAAAGGTTCTCTATAAAATTTACTAAAATTGTTAATAAAAACCCTTTGAGTTTACTGAAAACAACTGAGTGACTAATTCACACCAGGCATTCTGCTGGAGACTTTCACACTGTGTTCTCAGACCTACTTCTCAGAAAAACCCCACAGTTTTGGACGTATCTTTGTCCTCATTTAACTGACAATCAAACTGAGTGCCAGAGAGGTTAAATGACTCGCCCAACGTCAAAAGCCAGTAAGAGGACCATGCTTCAAACCAAGATTAATGAGCTTACACAGGGAAACCCTCAGGCAGCTCTGTTATTCAGAGTTAGCAGCATGGTTAAGACCAAAACTAATAGTTATAATTCCTCATGACCTAGCTCGGCTCATTGAGGATATTCTGAATGTAACAAAGACTTTAGAAAAAAACCAAACCATACATTATGATTAAAATGAGCAGAAATTTCAGATTCAATATTTCTAGTCACATTCTGAAAAAACTGTATGATTAGTTAACAATAACCACTTCTGCAAAGAGTAGACAGTTAATCATTTCACATAATGCTGGATCCAAGTGATATTATTCCCTGACAGACTGGGCTTCTGGTCCACATGCTTTTGCTGATGCAGCTGCTCTAGCCTGATGCTTTAGAACAGGCTTTTGATTTATAGTTTGAAGTTAAAATTACCAAAGAGTTTTAAAAGCAGTACAAAAGCCGTATGCATCTTTCTGTCACTATCTCAGAATACTGCTTCCATTTTTGCCCATATTTTTACTTGAGTGGCTGGAATTTAGGTGTAGATATACAGAATAGGAAAACTAACAGCAGAATAGGGAAATTATTACAAAACTATATGAAATATTTTAAAGTTCTGAAATAAAACAGCTAAAAACGCTTTGGTATCGACACTCACTTTCAGAATAAATGAGTGAAGGTGTGAAGGCAGAAACGCTGACATTTGTTAGTGTGTTTTTTTCTATTTGCTTCCCCTGCCACAGCCACATCCTATCTACCATTATCTGTACATGCAGAAAAATGAAAACAGACCGAGCTTGCTACACCACACAGACAAGGTTTCCATTTATCTGGCCCCGTATAGCTCCTAGAAGCATTTTCCTAAGGAAAGCAATCACTTGCTGATGGGTTTAGTTTTGTTGTTTTTGTTTTAAAGCAGTGACCCAAAAAGAAAATCTCTATGGAAGCATATCAGTATCTTTTAAATTCTTCAACAAGGAATTAAAAAAAAAAAAAAAAGCAGGAAATGCATTCCTGGTAATTCTGTGCCAGATCACTTTCATTGTAAATATTTTTTTAAAAAATAAGTAGCCTTAGAATCATAAACATTGCTCCTTTTTAGGCATCATTGTAAATATTTCTGCTATCTCAGGAGCAGCATTGCAAAAGGCCTCATGTTTTATCCTTAGCAGAAAGGTTGGTCCACCGCAGCTCCCATGGAGCTAAACAAACACAATTCAGGTACGTACCTTGTTATCTAAAAACACATTTCCCATAGGAAATGTGGTTAGATCAATTATATCCACAGATCACTTTTTCAAAGTCTTATTTTATCCTCATCTTTACCAAATCTTTTGCTAAAATATTGGAAAAAAAATAAGCAAAACGGCATTGAGTTTCTCTTTTTCTCCTACTCGGTCTTTTCTTTGAAGAGTGGTGCTGGAGAGCGCTAAGATGTAAAGAGCATAAAGGAGGAACAGCAAGACTCCTAACTGAACACAAAAAAATAAGTAGTTAGCTCTTTGAATAATCTAAAGTTGACATATTAGAGAATTAGGCCTGTAATTTTCAGCTGTAAAAAACAGATCTACAAAGGTAACAAGCAGCAAAAAAGAAAAAAACAAAACCCTAAACAAGGTTCTGAAAAATGCTCCTGCTTCTTCCCACACATATGAAAAACATTAAGAGCATGTAAAAAGGAGTTCTCTTCTGAGGTTTCACCCAAAAATCCTACCTGTGTCTCACTAAGGCTCCTGACTATTAAATGCCACCAGTTACCCTTGGTGGCAAAGTAAAATACAAATCAGTAGTTAATTGTGTGTTAAAAGAACAGCAAATTCTTTGAAGTTGTTCTTGAAGCAGCATGGGCTATCTAATTAAAGGATGTTTAAAGAACAAAAGAGGAGGAGGAGGAAGAAGAAGATGGGGAGGAGGGAGAAGGAAGAGGAAGACGAAGAAAGGAGGCAGAGAAAAGGGAGGAAGATGGGGAAGAGGAGGAGGAGGAACAACAATGCAGGGAAAAACCTCTTTTCTTTTTTTTTTTTTTTTTTTTTTTGAGACGGAGTCTCGAACCGTTGCCCAGGCTGGAGTGCAGTGGCGTGACCTCGGCTTACTGAAAGCTCCGCTTCCTGGGTTCACACCATTCTCCTGCCTCAGCCTCCTGAGTAGCTGGGACTGCAGGTGCCCGCCACCACGTCCAGCTAATTTTTTGTATTTTTTAGTAGAGACAGGGTTTCACCATGTTAGCCAGGATAGTCTCGATCACCTGACCTTGTGATCTGCCTGCTTCGGCCTCCCAAAGTGCTGGGATTACAGGCGTGAGCCACTGCGCCTGGCCTGGAAAAACCTCTTACTGAAGATCAAGAAGCCAACTCAAGTTTAAAATTGAGTCTCATGCACACTGTTTCTCAAATAGAAACACCCATTCTGACCTGTTCTAAACTACATGGCATCTCCGGCTGGGAATACAGACCAAAATAGCCAAACCCAAGAAAGACTGAAGATCAAACACAAGCCAACTGCACTCAGGAGAAATTCTCTAGTATCTGCCTACAGAATACAATTAGCTCGGGTATACTACACTAAAAATTGCTTTCAAAGAACACAGTTCAAAAACTGAGTTTCCTTTTTGCTGTCTATTCATAATAAAATGTTTGCAGAGATTTGACATCCTTTGATATACTTATATAATTTGTAACATACATAATGTCCATTCAACTTTATAAAGTAAATTTTAATCAAAGCTATATATATTTTCTGTGTAGAGCCTAGCGATTCAAAATAGTGAGAAACACGTCACAACAGTGAGAAACATGATACACAAGCAATATCTTAGTAAGCATAACCCCGATTTCTTTTTTCTTTTTTTCTTTTTTTGTATTTGAGGTCAACATAAGTAGTTTGCTCTCTCTGAAAAGTGTAAGTCAGTTGCCAAATGAAAATGGTATTCTTCAGCCTATGCCAGAAGTAAGTTCCTTAGTCTTCTTGCCTAGTCTTGGACAAGACCATTAACATTACTCAACAGCAACTAAAATCTTCACATCAATTTAAATATGTCTATCCTTGCCAACACTTTATGTCTAGAGTTGACTCTATAAATAATGTTGGGTGATTAGTAAGATTAAAATTGGACCTTCAACAATCCAATGTCAATGTTGCTATTCTTGGTTTGCATTTTAAAAAGCTGATGGGTTTGTTCACTTTATTCAAGTAAAAAATCAAATGAAAACCTCACCTTGTGATGCCCAAATTCATTCAAAATGCTTCCCAGTTTTCTGGTGTTGCTATGTGGTTTTTGGGCAGCAACAGCTGGATGGGGATCCCGCCAGTCAATGGACAAGCGGTGATACCAAAGGTGCTGACTCTCCAGAATGTGAGCTGACTTGACACTAGGATCAAAACGATGCACTTCACATCCATTGTTAGCCATGCTGACCTCAAAATGGGTATCATCACTTCCCAGCCTGTAAAGAAAGAGGACGGAAATCAACAACGAAAAATGCGATGAAGCAAAGTGCTGGACTGACAAGATAACACTTCCAAGGCCAAGGTTCTTAGTTATATCAAGCCTTCTCTTGTTTTAACCCATGGCTAATATACACATTCAATAAACTTTCTTTCACAAAAAAGTATTATTGCTTAAAGCTTCTGGATGAAAGATAAATTATCTGCTAAACGAAGACCAGAGAATCACATACTCAAACATGTAGACGCAACATCAAATTGGCTTTTTTAAGTGATGTAAATCACAGTAGCAATGAAACAAAGAAGACTATCCAATAGTCTTAGATTTTCTCAGAATATGTCCAAAAATATAAGCCCCAGGATTAGTTCTCTTGAGGAGAGGTGTGTTCTACTAATGAGGTAATTTGTCTCCATTCTAATGGCCGCAGTGCTGCATATGCAATTTGACTTAAAGACAACAGCTGTTTTCTTAGAAATGTAATATATTTTTAAATAGTGCAGATAAGAAAAAAGGCAAATGTATGTGAATCTGCTGCATCCAGAACGCAAGAAGCAGAAGGTTCCCTCACCTAAATTCACACCAAAAGGGGAAGAAATTATGAATTAATTGTACTTAAGTACTCAATAGGTAGCACATCATATGGAAAATTATAAACTTACGAATATTGAATTGACTCAGAAATATTCCTTATTTAATGGTGCAAGGATTGTCACTTTGATCAAAGCACCAGTTTTTTGTTTGTTTGTTTTTTCTTTTTGTTTTTTGAGACGGAGTCTCGCTCTGTTGCCCAGGCTGGAGTGCAGTGGTGCAATCTCGGCTCACTGCAACCTCTGCCTCCCAGGTTCAAGCGATTCTCCTGCCTCAGCCTCCTTAGTAGCTGGGATTATAGGCGCATGGCACCATGCCCGGCTAATTTCTGTATTTTTAGTAGAGACGGGGTTTCACCACATTGGTCAGGCTGGTCTTGAACTCCTGACCTAGTGATCTGCCCACCTCAATCTCCCAAAGTGCTGGGATTACAGGCGTGAGCCACCGCGACCGACCTAAAGCACCAGTTTTAATGTAAAACATGAAATTAACTGAGAATGATTTTTTTAAATGGTGATTATGGTTTCTCTGCCCCAAATACTGTACTTATATGTGATTTAGGATACCAAAATCCCACAGAGTAGCTACACTACTTGGCCGAACCTAAACGCAGTGCAGAAACACTTCAATCTAGTAGATTCTACTACAGCTGACCATTGAACGACACAGGTTTGAACTGCGTGGGTCCACTTGTAAGTGGATTTTTTTCAATAAATACAGTCAGCCCTCCATAGCTATGGGTTCCATGTCCACAAATTCAACCAACATGGATCAGAAATACAGCATTGATGGGACGCAGAAGCCTACTGATATGAAGGGCCAATGTTTTGTATCTGTGAGTTCTACAGCCAGACTTGGTATTTCGTGGATTTTGGTATCTGTTGGTGGGGAGAGGGTGGCCTAGAACCAACTGCCAACCCCATACGGAGGGATGACTGATGATTGCATAATCTGGAAATACACCAGTTCAGCGGATAATAACTATTTACCTTATTTTAATTAACTAAATTAAGGCTTTGGCTCAGAGATCATCCACCTAGACAATTTTTTTTTTTTTTTTGAGATGGTGTCTGGCTCTGTCGCCCAAGCTGGATACGCAGTGGCATGATCTCAGCTCACTGCAACCTCTGCTGCTGGGATTCAAGCAATTCTCCTGCTTCAGCCTCCCGAGTAGCTGGGATTACAGGTGTGCCCCACCATGCCTGGCTAACTTTTGTATTTTTAGTAGAGACGGGGTTTCACCATGTTGCCCAGGCTGGGCTCGAACTCCTGACCTCAGATGATCCACCCTCCTTGGCCTCCCAAAGTGCTGGGATTACAGGCATGAGCCATGGCACCCCACCTAGACATTCTTAATACAGGTAGCCCTCTGTATCCACAGATCTGATTCACAAATTCAACCAACTGCAGATTGAAAATATTCAAAAAAACAAAAACAAAAATAATACAACATTAAAAATAGTAGAAATAAAAAGCAATACAGTATAACCACTATTACATGGCATTTACATTGTATTAGGTATTATAAGGAATCTAGAAATGATTTAAATGATGCAGGAGGATGTGCATAGGTTATATACAAATACTACACCATTTTATATCCAGGACTTGAGCATCCTAAATTTTGATCTTTGCAGTGGTCCTGCAACCAGTCTCCATGGGTGTGGAGGGGTGCTGACAGTCTCATTTGCCTCTTTCTCACCCTTCACCCAACTACACTGCTCTTTTTCCCACTGCATCCCATGGTAAGTCAGCCCTCTGATGTCCCTCAGCCATAGCTTTTTCAACCCTTTTTGCCTAAAGAAATTTCAGCACTCCTCTCACAAGCACTTCCATTTCTTCCACATAACAGATCTTGTTCCCTATTTTCTACCTCCTATTGAATCCACACAGCTCAGACCACTCAAGTCTCTGCCCCAGTTTTCCCCCAGTTTTCCATGATCAAATCTGATGCGGCAGATTGACTTGTTGACTCTGCTCCTTCAACCCTGCACCATCCACACTACTCCATGCTCATCATGAGAAAGAGTCTTTCCCTGTCCCTTGACTTTTTGGCTTGGCCATGTGCCTTGCTTTATGGAAGGAAGTGGGAGTGTGCCAGTCCAGATCCTAAGCCTTGAGTGCTTCTGTTCTCTCTCTTACACTGTCATCATGATAAAAACGTACCCTGGAGAGTCTGCACTCCAGCCAGTCCGCCGGCCCTCTGTAAAATACAGAACCTCCCTTAGCCATCTCAGCTGAATACTATAAACACCTCTACGCAAATAAACTAGAAAATCTAGAAGAAATGGATAAATTCCTGGACACATACACCCTCCCAAGACTAAACCAGGAAGAAGATGAATCCCTGAATATACTAATAACAGGCTCTGAAATTGAGGCAATAATTAATATCCTACCAACCAAAAGAAGTCCAGGACCAGACGGATTCACAGTCGAATTCCACCAGAGGTACAAGGAGGAACGGGTACCATTCCTTCTGAAATTATTCCAATCGATAGAAAAAGAGGGAACCCTCCCTAACTCATTTTATGAGGCCAGCATCATCCTGATACCAAAGCCCAGCAGAGACACAACAAAAAAAGATAATTTTAGACCAATATCCCTGATGAACATTGATGCAAAAATCCTCAATAAAATACTGGCAAACAGAATCCAGCAGCACATCAAAAAGCTTATCCAATAACTGGCCTTCATCCCTGGGATGCAAGACTGGTTCAACATACACAAATCAGTAAACGTAATCCATCATATAAA